TATATATATATATATATATATATATATATTATATATACTTTTATATATATATATATATATATATATATATATTATATATACTTTTATATATATATATATATATATATATATATATACTGAAAATACTTATTATATAGTCATACTGGGAAAAGCATTTTGTCTTTCTCTTTATTTTATTCCTTCCCTTTCTGGCTTGTACTTATTTGAACAAATGCCTGAAACTTGGTATTACAAGCACTTCTTGTGTCTGTTTGCCTCTTTAAGAAGAATCACTTTATGTATCCCCCAATTGTAAGTTGCTTTGGATAAAAGCGTCTGCAAAATGACTAAATGTAAATGTAATGTAAATGAATGAGTAGGAAAAACAGTTTTTCCTTTTTTTTTTGTCCAAAATCAGCCAGTCCGAGCATGTTGGATGTTTTAGCTGCTGTGTGTTTTGTGTGTATCAGGCAGGACAGGACTTCCATGCGGACCTGTATCCGGACACTGTGGGTCACACTCCGGCCATGACGGCAGAGGACTGGTGGAAAGGAGAGAACAAACAGGTACTGACCTCTTCTGGTTTAGTCATGGGCAATTCAATGGATAGCAAAGGATTTCTTACTGAAAATTAAAGTATGAGGAAAAAAGGGGAAGTATAGTCAAGCTATATTAACTTTTTAAGATATATTTAACTCTGTAACACTTGAACTTTTACAGGTGGAGCGAGTCAGTCTTCACCCAAACAAGAGGCCAAAACCGGCCGCTCCATCAGCTCAGGAGACAAAACCAAAGGATCATCTTCCCCGTGGCAAGAGCAAAGAGGTCTGTGGGAGAAACATGAGGAGAAATGTTTACTTTACAGAAATGATGGTCTTACAGTGTCTTTCTGTGTTTTTCTCAGGAGGCCTCGACCTCCAGCAGTCCCCTCAGCACCCCCAGCAGCAGTGCCGCCCCGTCCCGCTCCCCGTCCTCCACCAGCGGCCTGTCATCCGGCTTCCTGCCGAGCCCCAGCCAGAGCTCCCGCGCCATCCACAGCATGCTCGGTCACGCACATTCACTTTATATGCATTTACATTTAATTCAGTGACATATATATATATATATATATATTTTTTTTTTTTTTTTATTAAAATGAAAAATATTTTGATAGTATGTCTATAAATAATAGAATAAAAGTTATTAGTATGTAAACCTTAATTGCAAAAATTGCCAGTAGAGGTGAGAATGTTCTACTATACAATATTATTATCACACTAGTAATATATTACTTTATTAATTTGTTTAATTTTTAGAATTTCAGCAGTGATAAGATGAAACTATAATAATGATAATTGATAGTAATAATATTTTTTGATTCATTTCTGTGAATCATTTCTTTCGCGCTGTCCATTTCAGTCAATAGGTTCAATAATGATTGATTTGTATAATCTCTCTCTCTATGTAAATATACTCTTATTGTGTATTTTTATATTATTAAAATTATTCAGTTATTAAATATGATTATTACTAAATATGAATATAGAAATACTTGTTTGTGTGTGTGTGTGTGTGTGTATATATATATATATTTACACACACAGACACACTATTATGATGCATTCTTATATTATTAAAAGAAAAAAAAAATTCCTTTGTGTTTATTTAATGAACACAATTTAATTCAAAAAACTGTATTCTTCATCACTTAATACTAGATTTTTATTTTACTTGTTTTAAACATTTTTAATATGGTCAGCAATGACCGTCTACATTATAGTTATGGTTCCTTGAACTGAAAAATACATTTCAGAGCAAATACATAACTATTTATATACACTACTAGTTGGGGGGTAAGATTTATTTAATGTTTCTGTAGCATGAACCTTTAGAAATCATTCTAATATGCTGATTTGCTGCTCAAGAAACATCTCTGGTTATTATCAATATTGAAGAAAGTTATGCTGCTTCATATTTCTGTGATACGTTTTTGTTCATGATTCATCTGATGAACACAAAGTTTAAAAAAAACAAAACAGCAGTTTCTGTTAATTTTGATCAATTTAATGCATCTTTGCTAAATATACAAGTATTAGTTTCTTTCAAAAAACAAAATCATACTGCCCCCAAACTGATGTCAGATATCATCAAAAAGCTGAACCATATCAAGAGAGAATGTTTTTGACGCTGTAAATCGCCCAGCTCTTGTAATGAATGGCTTTCTGTGATTCTTAGGCCCGAGCTCCAAGTTTCGTCACATCCAGGGGGCCGTTTTGCACCGGGACACTCACATCACCAACCTGCGCGGGCTTCATCTGACCACACCAGGAGAATGTGACGGATTCTGTGCCAACGACCAGCGCGTGGCAGTGCCTCTCGCCATCGCTGGAGGGCAGATCGCTGTGTTTGAGGTGCGTTACTGCATTCACTTCTCTTTTCTTCTGAATCTTTGATTTATTTACAGTATCTAACTGCTC